TGTTATGTCCTGGTTCGTTATAGCTAGGTTTTATGGTATTTTCCAATTGAAAAGCGTTAAGATATATTATTTCTTGAAAATATGAAGGTAGACCAGCAGGGTCTCTCAGACTCGATGTCATGATTGGTGTTCGTCTAATTGGCGCCAGAACTTCCGGCTTAAATTGTAACCAAGAGACAGGCTATCATACGTGCATCCTGCTGTGTTATTGGCCCGGATTTTTTGAAAATGAATATGCGCATGTGCAAATGCATATTTTGAGGGCTTTTGGTCGTTATTGCATATTCTAAACGTAAAAGCATATTTCTGCATATATGTTTGAAATTAAGAATAATTTCAAATATTCGCTAGCAAAATCGGGTTTGCCTGAGCTTTGGACATCCGTTGCCAGTTGATATTCTCAACTCTCTGAGTAACGGAACTTTTACCACTTACAATACAAGCAAGTAGCTTGGCTATTTAGAAAGGGAGGGGGTGGAATTTTCCTGCATTCCATTGACCACCACAGCAGACAGTAGCATCAGAGGGTTGGTGTTAGGAGAAGTCTCTTCAGTTAATGTGTTACTCTTTACTTTAATAGTTTGCATCACAAAAGTGTTCGTGTACTGAAAATGCTTAAAGAAAAGTGCAGCAGTAGATATTTAAGACATCGGTGGGTGTCGGGTAATAGTGACTATTCAACAGACAGTGTCGTCGTGTACTGTCAAGTTTGCACAAAGGAAGTAAAAAGTGAAAAGAAATTTCAACTTGAACAACACTCAGGAACGACTGCACATATTATGGAAAATAAGGGGAATGACAGCACACCACAACAACTACTTCTTACACAGGTCAAACCCAAGTCCTCCGTTAATACATTTTCAGCCGATCTTTGTAAGGCTTTAGTATGCAGCAACATTCCATGTAATAAATTAAGCAGTCCAGTTCTGTGATCATTTCTGGAGAAATATTGCGTACTTCAAAAAATCCCAGATGAATCAACTCTTAGAAAAAATTATCTACCTTTGCTGTATGAATCTACTCTGGAGTCAGTACGTTCTGACATCGGAGGGAACCGTGTCTGGATATCGGTGGATGAGACAGCCGATTTATGTGGCCGATACATAGCAAATTTCGTAGTTGGTAAGCTACATCCAGACGAACCCGGCAAACCTCATCTTCTTGCTTGCAAAGTACTAGAGAACACCAACCATAGTACAATAGCAAGTTTTGTAAACGAATCTGTGCGACTACTATGACCATCTGAAACTGAGAATAATTGTTGTAAGGTGCTTGTGTTACTCACAGAAGGAGCTTCCTATATGTTGAAAGCAGCAAAGGCCTCTTTTTATTGCTAGTGGGGTGGGACTAAGTCCCTTGTACTGCGGCCACTGCTGACCTATTGACCCAGCCTCAGATGATAGGTGAGGGTGATTGTTGAGCGATTGGTGGAATGAAGATTGGCAGGGGAAACCTAAGTACTCGAAGAAAACCAGCCTCAGAGCCACTTTGTTCACCACAAATCCCACTTGACCAGACCCGGGATCTAATCCGTGCCGCCGCAGCGGGAAGCCAGCGACTAACCGCTTGAGTTATGGCGCGGCCCCCAGCAAAGGCCTTACAAGTATTTCATGCAAATCTTATACATGTAACCTGTTTAGCGCACGGGTTACACCGTATTGCAGAAATACGTGCACAGTTTCTAGCTGTTAACGATTTAATTGCAAGTGGGGAAAAACTTTTTCTGAAAGCACCAGCTCGTGTCCAGTTCTACAAAGATTGCCTACCTCAGGTTTCTCTGCCACCTGAACCTGTCCTAACTGGGTGGGGGACATGGTTATACGCAGTTCCATTTTATCAGAAGAATTTCAATCAAGTAAAATAAGTGGATGCAAAACTTGAAGATGAGTATTCATGTGTCCATGAAGCAAAAGTGGTGTTTGGATGTGACACTGTTTCTCAAGATGTGAATTTTATTCATGCACATTTTTCTACAGTTTCAGAAGCCATTGCGAGCTTAGAATCTTGTGGTGAACTCATTCAGAAAGCAACTTGTTCACTGAATTCCGCTCCATGCGAAATTGGAGAGAAAATTAAATGCAAGTTAGAAATGGTGTTTAATTCGAACCCAGGATTAAAAGAGATTCAGTCAGTCAGTACTTGAGTGGAATTGGGGTATTTTTGCCAGTAGAATGTTCCGAACCTTCGGCGCCAGTGTATAAATACTGTCCAATCATGTCAATTGTAGAAAGATCATGCTTGGCCTATAAACTCATCTTGACGGACAATAGACGTAGTTCGTCTCCAGAAAACATTGAAAGACTTTTAATTGCCTATTGTGATGCTACTTTCTGCAGTGAAAGGTACATGTAAATAGGTGAGTGAATAAAGTTACCTGTTTTTTTAAATGCATATTGTTTTATTTTGGAGCATATTTTCACGCTCTTTAGCGCATATTTTAAGTGTTTTTAGCACATAAAGATCCGGGCCCTAGTTATTACTATAATTCCTTATTAGAGTCCGTCGCAACACAATAATACAATGGTCAAGGGTGAAATTAGCTTAGCTAGAGATTTCGGCTATTAACGTCATCAGGCAAACACATGATTACCACATACACACGCGGACAAATACATTGTAAGATGAGGCACCTGCTCAACAGAAAGTAAACAATACAACTATATCATCGATACCAAAATCAATAGTTAATTACAATAAATTTAATGCCTTTATTCTCACATCATTTCCAGATTTATGTCAAAACGATATTACATCTATACCATTGGCCTCCAGGCAATTTACTACATGTATACAAGTCTAGAATATACCATTATATAAGTCCGCGGGAATACGTATAAAAATTTGAAACAACTGACTTGATGATATGGAATATCACATGAAGAGTTTTCAACAATATTTTACGTCATAAGTTTCGTCTTTATAACATGTTTACAGTTTATTGTATTTCATACCATGTATTTTATAATGTAATAATTATCAAGTATCCAGCGTCACCATCGCAATTGCAGTTCAGTAGTGTGTGAATATGGTAATGATGTGTTTGCCTGATGATGGCTTTAATAGCCGAAACATGTAGCTAAGCTAATTTTAGCTTTCTAATTTGTTATTCATTAATTATTGTATCATTTTATGCTATATAATTAGCTAGAGACGGCGTCATTAAATACATTAAGAATACACATAAATGAATCATCTCCATCAAGGGACGAACCTGGTGAAGCTTTGCTTATCCGCAATGCAGTTGTATGCATTATGTTCAAATATTCGCGTTAAAACTTTTCCTCGTGATAACCGCCGTACTTCTGTATGTAGTAGGAGTGTAGTGTTTTCTGATTTCATTTCCTGACACAAAACGGAAAAAAAGCTGCGAATTTAGGGGCCGCGACTTGATGAGGTTCACGACTTTTACTACTTCGTCCAGCACAACTCTCAGAGAAGATGGCAAAAACTTGGCAACAATGGCTTCGCGGTGAATGAGATAATGATCGCATCGTATGTTAGGATTTACTTTGCGTACTTTAGCTATAAATCCTTTAACACGGCCTGTCATAGAAGCGGCTCTGTCTGTACAAACACTAACGCAATCCTTCCATTTTAATTCATTATGTAACACATATTCATTAGTGACACAAAATACTTCTTCACCGGTGGCTCGCTGGGGAAGGCCTTTACAAAAAAAGAAATTTGTTGCAATTACATCTCCATCGATGTTGCGAAGTTGCGCGTGGCCGCTAATATCGGTGGACTCGTCGATCTGAAGCGAGAACTTCTGACTGCTGTTGATTTGCTCCTTCGTAATTACTTCAGTGTCACTAGACATGTCAATAACTCGGCGACTGATGGTGTCAGCAGAGAGAGGAATTACTGAAATTTCACTAGCAGCTTCCGAACCCGGACTATTTTCACCATCTCTTTACAAACAGGCGTTAACAACGTTTCAGCTATTGTGTGGGGTTTTTGGCCTTTATGATAATATCGGCTACCTTATAACTTGCTTCCTGTACGTTTTCTGAAACACGTACTGTCGCAGTCATTAACTTTTTTTTTTTGTTCCAACAAGCGACGAAAATAACTGACACCTTTGCTTGATAGAGAAGAATGTTTTGTTGACAAATGTTTCAATTTACTGGGAACCATAGCAGAATTACTGAGTTCTTTTACCACAAACGATACACTCGGGGATTGGGCACGTTTTATCATCACGCCAAAAGAACCCTAAGATAAGTAATTATCACTATACTGCCGGTGTACTAATTCTTGATTTTTTTGCGGGCTCAGCGCTTTCACTACTTGCACTCGTGGTTGGGACAGTCTAACAGAAAATAGCAAAACTAACTAGCAAGCACAATTTTCGAACTACTTCAGAGCACAGCTGTGAAAGAACTGAAACTGAAAAACGCTGGATCTCTATTCTTCAAACGGAAGAAGTGAAACTATACCGACTTATTTTTGAAATATTTATAATTTTAAATGAAGTCCAACAATCGGTGGGTGCATCATTACAGGAAGAAAGTCAGAAAGCTGAAGAAGCTCTAACTTCTAACAAACATGGTCAAATACCAAAACATTATAAAAGACAGGGAAACCCTTGATAATCCCTGCAGTTTTAGGGAAAAGCACGTACACAGAAGATGCGGCAAGTATATCAAAGTCGCGTAGATGCGAGAAAAATAAAAATAAATCAATAATGAGAACTTTGATATAACAACTGTGAGTAAATAATTTACGTTTAATTTCTTGGAATACAACATTACTGTACATAAAAAATCATGGCATGTAATAAAGAATAAACAATCATCATCTTATTTAATCAGTGCAGTGGCTGAGAATAAAATACGAGCATATGAAACACGGTAACTGGGATAAAATAAAACGAATAAAATTCGACAATTAATTTCTTACAATAGGTAAAAGTTCGCGTCACACCTTTCACCTTGTGACGGCACACTGGTCTACTGTACCAGCCTCGGATGATACATGATGAATGTGGAGCAGTCGGTGCAGTGAGACTTGGCAGGGGAAACTAAAGTACTCGGAGAAGACTTGCTCCAATGCCAGTTTCATTTTGTTACTTATGTATTTTTTGTTAACGTTGAATCATCTTGTACTGGCAAAGCAGAATGTCATAATGCATTTCTTAAACAGTACTGCCTACTCGTAGCATGAGAAGTCTCGTATCCTTTCTTATGGACGTTGTATCGGCAGATACCTACACAGCCTTTAGTCCAGTTCCCCTTTCTCACACTGACAGGGAATTGAGTTTTGGTGTCCACACATTTCAGTCTGTGCTATCCTGTACAGGGTTATTTTCTTGTAACGTCATCTGTTCTGGCATTGCATAACTAAGACATGGAATATTTCACATGCTGTGTAAAAAATTGACGAGAAAAACATTGAGATCAGGCCAGTTTTGCACTATTATGTCCTCCATACTTTTTATTCTGAGGCGTCAAAAGATTACAGACAATAGTAGTCATTTTTCTGGTTTCAGTGATTCGCTTAGGTTTTCCTGTGACTGTATATGGAAGCGGATATCGTTAATTTTAATGTCACAGTTAATATAACAGCCGTCGTCGTCATATCTGCTATTTCACAAGCAGTAAAGTAAAAGTAAAGCTATCCCTGTACCAGGCCGTGAAGGCCCATAGGGTTATCACGTTGAAATAGTCTTCATTTGGTACTTCAAACTACTAGGGCGAGGGCACACCAAGGAAACTGGCAACCGCAACGCGACTGCAGTTTCCGAGAATGGTTATCAGCCTGAGCTGAGCACATGTTAGTGAATGGAGTAGCGAAAGTTGAGGAGACGGCAATGTAATGCAATGCAACATCTGGTAAGTCTGACATGGACTAAGGAACGTGTACATTAGTTGCCATACCCTGATTGATAACTGCCAAGTTTGACAACGTTTTATTGGCAAGGTCCTCTAGTTTTCTGATCCTAAACTTAGCTCCTTGAATAGCTAAAGTTGGATTGCTTTCTTTCTGCTTAATATCTTCTACTTTCTGATATATCTTTTCTACTCTCTTAGCTATGTTCCTGACGCACTCATCATTTGGAAAAATAAATTTTCTTTCTTGCTTTTGGAAGTAACCCTCCATGCACTCTTCTTCAAAATCACGTAGTCTTTCCAAGCCATCACAGTCCAAAAATAGTTTCAATGCATTGTCATGCAATTCTCGGATGCCACGCACTTTACAGTAGCAATATTTAAGAAACAAATATATATGGCACAGGACAATTAGTGGTGCAGGAAGTACAGGTGTTTGTTTATACTCCTTTATAACTGCAAAACGCTGGAACATCCAAACTTGATGTGAAATGGCTCTTATTTCATTGAAAATGTTGTTGAAGTTTGCTATAATCAAATTGACGAGTAGAATGCTGGCCACAAGAAGGAACACTCCTATTTCAGTAACAACAACCCAGACACCTGCCTCACACTTCTTCATATGAGGGTCATCACCACATACAGGGCTAACACTCTCTTCAGGTATTTCACCAAACAACATCAAGTAAGGCGTCATGAAGACGTCAAGAACAAGAGACCAACTTAGTTCTTCATCTGGGTGTTGAATTGCATGGGTAGATACACCACAACTCACCACTACCACAAGGAGAATAACAATGACATGTTTCAAGCTCTGCAGCATTTTTCTTATAATTGTGATAAGTGGGCCAAGCACTTTGTTTACCACCATAAATTTCAGAATACGAAGATACCAGTAGATACTACTGACAGAGAAAATAAGGCGACCGATTCTAATTGAGGATTGATAAAAACGCAGGCATAATCCTATGAAGAAGAATATTATGGCAGCAGCATCACAAGGATTCCAAATGTCCCATGCCCATACTAAGAGTTTGTGCCTGAAACAACAGAAAGGATGGTGAGAATATGCACAGGATATTAGAACAGACTATACATATGTAAGTACAGAAGAGTGTCATACCTGATATTAACTGGTTCTGAGGATATAATCGCCCTTATTTTCTCGCAGGCAAATGCACATATACAAACAATAGTGTACAAGCCCTGCCAAGTAGGTTTCATTTCAATCTTCGTCAGCAACATGTATGTGAAAGTATACAAGAAGACCAAATATCCAATCTGAAATGCAATCATTCATTTTTATATTCTGTATTTTAATTATTAATGCTCAATAAATATTATCAGATGTTTCAGGAATCAAAACACAAATAACCTTGGTAAGTTTAAATGTAAATCCTACAATGTTTTTCAAAATGAATTTACTAGTCATTAAATATTGTCTAAATGTGGTAAAGCTTCAAGTTACTATGCATGTATATTTAATTCACAATTTAACCATATAACTCAAATTAAGAAGGAAGTGTTCAGCTGAAGTTCAGTCACTTACTGCATGTGCCCAAAACTTTGTTATTGGTGCAGTATAAAACTCATACAGTTTCTTTCTCGGGCTCAGGAGTTGATTGTATTTCACTTCAAAATAATTTGGAGGAAAACGAAAATTCTGTTTTATGTCATCATGTTTAGTTACATCTTCATTTCTCTGAACAACTGTGTTCCTCATTCCATAGTTCTCTTGAGAATTCACAATCTGTAACATCAAAAGGACACGGTTGGAGAATCTTACAGAAGAATTATTTCCCATGCTAGAATAGAATCTGTAATTGCACAGGATTTGACAGTGAACAAAATTTTGACATTTTATTTTACATACAACATTAAAAATACTTATACTGTTGCCACATAACTATACAGTACAGTAGTCCATAGAAATATGAAACTTGTTGGCAGTGTTTAGCGATGCTACTTACTAATGTGCATGATCATAATGTACAAAATAATCATGTCAGTTCAAGCCGTTACCTCTATTTTACTCAACACTGAAGGATGCAGGAAAGTAAACACAGCTTTCTGACTTCTGCTGAAAGTTATTTTTCTATTTTTCTTAAGCACTCCATAAGTGAAATGAAAAAATTTCAGTTCATTTTTCCTGTACAACAAACAGTAGGAGTTCTCTGTCTGAACAAATTTCAAATGTCATTTCATCATCAAAATAATTATGATCTTCCTCCTTGAATGCTTAAAGCCTATTTTGATATTTACTAATTCAGTAACTGTGTGTATGGAACAGTAAATAAAATATAAGCTACAATGTATATAACAAATCAATTCTGTATAAGAAAATATGCAATCATCTTATACAGGGCACACAGAACAATACACTGTAAATTTATGCATTATAATGGATGTTTTGCAAATCACACTAAAAAATTACCACCTAAGATATTTTCAAGCAACTATATATATATATATATATATATATAAGTAATTTCAGTGTAGAATATAATAATTTTATAAAACGAATATAGTGGAACTATGTAATTGTCCTTGATCAGGACTCACTGCCTGACAATACAGGCACACATATACGAGTACATTATCTCTAAAGTATTTTTTAGGCGTTGTATGCATCAAATTCCATCATTATTAAATGAAAGTTGTTAGGGTGGATACAATGACAGTAAGCTGATCTCATAAGCCTACTTTCATTTTTTTAAAATAAGGAAAATATGATAAACTAGATTCTCTTTCCACATATGATGAAATCCAAAGTCCTCATACCACAGATCTCAATGAATACCCAGATTATTTTCTGTAAGATTCCCTGCTCAAGGTATTATGTACCCTGGAAGATGTTATGGTGAGTTACAGACTTTGTTCTGTAATGGAAAACTAACTATGGTGACACTACTTATGAAAATTGTTTTTTATTGCATAGAAGATAAAATTAGCTGAAAAAAAGGTAAATTTTCTGTACAGTATCTGACTAATTTACTATTTTCCTTTAAAATTTCTGAATTTCTGTGATCTTTCTAAGCGTGAATACTGAGGGAATGAATGAAAGGAGGGAGTGGGACAGACGTAAGTAATAGTGGTGTAATTTTGTAGAAATGTCACTTAAATTTTCCTTCTAACTAGAACAGGCATATGAATTTTTAAAAATATAAACCACCAGTACAGTTCAATTGTATTTAAATAAATTTCCCAATGGCACTACAGTACGCTTCCAGTCATCCAGTATCCAGGTATTCAGAATTCTCATCCAGCTTGCAAAAGGTTCAAAGATAAATGACCACTTTTGCAAAGTCATTTAAAAACAAATTTGTCACATGCAGGTATTCACAAGATAATTCCCCTCACCCCACTAGGAACACTACACATCATTCTCCTTTACACGTGCCACTACAGTGATCACCTTACAGCAGTCCTATATGTACTAAGAATTATTGACCTTGGTGCTAGAATGAGGTGAGGAAGAACTCCAGTTATACTACTATAGTCAATAATTTTGTGGAGTGTGATTTTGTCACACACTATTGCAAGATACATACACTTAGACATATCCATATCCTCCCTCACAATAGTCGGCGCTGGCCGCTATGCAAGTCTGCTAATGTTGGTATAGCTGCTGGAAACACTGTTGAAAGATATTTGTAGGAAAGTCCCGTACCACTTCCCTTATGGCACAGTGGTGATCTCCTCAGCTGACTAAAATCAATACCCACGTAGTTTTCTTTCAAGAGAGGAAAGAAAAAGAATATGTGCGAGATCAGGCAAGTATAGAGGGTGTGGAAAAACGGTGACCTCCTCTTGGACAAGCACAGAGCGATGTGCAGGGGCGTTGTTGTATAGCAATAGCCAGTTCTTCCTTCACCAAAGCTCAGGACGCTTATGACAAATTGAATTGCATAGATGGCAAAGGATCTCCTTGTAGTGGTGCGTGTTTACAGTCGATCCTTCTGGGATGAATTCCGTTTGAGAAATTCCAGATGAGTAGAAAAACAGTTCAAGTATTACGTTGCCTTTTGACCTATCCTGTCGCGATTTCCAGGTTGCCGGTTTTCGCTTCAGTTGCAGATTGTACAGAAAACACCATGTTTCGCCTCCTGTTATGATCCCATTTAGAAACCTCCCATCTTTCTCAGTGCTATTGTTCAGGTCACCACAAATGCTCACATTGGTCTTGTGTCAGGACAGGTGGAACGCTGTGCTGGGTAACATGAGACATATTTAGGTCATCAGACAGAATTTTGTGACAAGTACCATAGCTAATCCTGGCTGCTGCTGCCCTGACTTCATTTACCATTTGGGAGCAATTTGCATGCATCAACATTACAATGTTATGGATCTAGAGTTCAGTTCTGACCGTTCTTGAACAACCAGTATGATCATCTTCCAAACTGCCTCTCCTCTGTATAAGACGTTTGTGCTACTTAAACACGGCACTACAACCCAATACTTCTTCACTGTATGCTTGTTTGATCATCTGAGTTGTTTCGCTAGCAGATTTGCCTAATTTTTGGCAGAACTTGACATTTTCCCATTGCTCAAACTGCGACATTCTCAATTTCCACCGCTCACAGACAACTACCCTTCACAACATTGACTTTTTTTCTGAATACTCTGCATGCACGCAACTGCTTCTTGCTGGGATGAGAGAAGAATGGACACAGCATCATCTTGTGCAATTTCATGGTGCCACGTATCCGCTGTAGTGCATAACAGCGCCACTATGCAACCAATCAGCGAAATTGACTGCACTCCATATTATGTAAATGTAGAAGTTGGTACACACAGTGGAATCATATTACATCTGTTCAATCATCTCGACCAGTCTTGACAGTTATACGTAGTTATACATGTGTACTAATTGTACGCACAATTATAATGCAGTCTCTGTATCTGGTATGGTATGTATTTTCAATTTATGGCACATAACTGGTTGCTGGATGGACTAAATCTGAATTTGAACTTGAGTTTATTTACATTCCTTAAATCCAAGTACAGTTTGATGCCATAGGATATGGAAAGTCAAGTACAAATACATAATACCTGCTAATTGGATGCATATAGTACAGGCTGCAAATAAGCCAAATGATACAGTAACATGAATGGGAATACACTTTAGGTTAGATCTGATACTGGTTACTGCTTGTTTACATTGAAATATTTATCTGTGGAATTGAAGGAATGTGTAAGTAAGTAACGTTTCAATGCTGCTCTAAATTGCTTAATATTACTAGTTGCCTTTTTGACACATCAATGCCAAAGGAGTGAACTCCTTTTTGATATAGAAACAGATGTACTGAATGTTGGTGGAAGTTGAGTTTTTGCTTCATATTTATGTTATGGATGCCAGAATTTAAATTATACATGCTTTTGTTGTCTACCACAAATAATAGGAGTGAGAGTATGCATTATGAGTGGCACAGTAATATTTTTAACTTCTTAAATAAATCTAAACAAGAATCTCTATTCTTGCTTCCTGTGATAATTCTAATTTGCCCTCTTTTGCATTTTGAAGGTTTTAGTGCTAACTGTACAGTTTTCCTAGAATATTATTCCATAAGACATAGCAGAGTGAAAGTAGGTATAGTAAACCTATTTCATTACTTCCTGAGACATGTAGGGTTTATTAGATCTGAGTGCATAACAAGCTGCACTTAGCATGTGTAGTACCTGCTCAATATGTTATTTCCAAGACAGTGCACTATCTGTAAGTAATCCAAGGAATTTTGTGTCATGTGCTTTAAAAATGTTTTATTAGCATAGCTTACATCCAGGTTAATTTGGGTTCCATTTTTAGTTGCAAATTGTATGAGATGGGGTTTCTCAAAAATTTAATGAAGGACTATTGGCTCTGAACCATATATTTAAGTGTTCGAATATGGTTGTTATGTCACTTACAAACTCTGTGGGGTTTGAGTTTGTAACTATTATACTAGTATTGTCTGCAAATAGAATGGTTTAGATTTACTCTTAACAAATTTTGGTAAATCATCTATACAGAGAAGAAAGAACAAAGGACCTAGTATGGATCCTTGTGGGATGCCATGCCTTATTTTACCCCATATTGAAGCTGTCTGATGACTAAATTTTATTGTTTTTATTTGCACCCTTTGATAGCTATCCACAAGGTATGATTTAATCCAATTACTGGCCTTACCAGCTATTCCAAATCAATTTAATTTGAACAGTAAAGTGTCATGATTAACACAGTCGAATGCTTTAGCTAGATCACAGAAGATCCCGCCAATTAGTAATATTTTATCAAGGGCACCTATGAATTCATTACTTACTTCATAGGTTGCTTTTCTGTCATTAGATTTTCCTAAATCCAAATTGTTCTTTTGCTACTATGTTGTTATTAATTACATGTTCAAGTAGTCTGTTATATATTACTTTTTCAAGGATTTTTTAGAAAGATGTCAGTATGGATATTGGTCTGTAGTTGGAAACATCTGTTATATCGCCCTTTTTAAATATCAGTTTTACTATAGAGTACTTTACGTATTGAGGAAAGGCCTCTGATGAGAGGGATGTATTACATATATGACATACAGGTGAGGTAATATAAGCACACTAATTTTAAGTAATTTGGTGGATATTTCATCATTTCCATATGTATTTTTTAGAATTAAGGGATGTAATGATGCTTTCTATTTCCTTTGTTGTTGAAAATTTGAGTTGTATGTTCAGAAAGGAGTCGTTAAATGCATGAGCCAGATGGCGTGATGCAATTTCATTAGATAGGTATCTGCCGCGAATTCCCAGGCTGGACTAGCATAAGTCATTACAGATCTAGTGAGAGCTTTGTGGAGGGTCAGCTTAATGTTAGTGCTTAATCTCTCACTTTTGAGTAGGGAATACAATCTAATAAATGTTCTGAAGGCCTTGGCCTGAACTGGCATCTGAATTCATTTCTCTTATAAGCACTCTGCACAGACACCACAGAAAACACCTATTATTGTAGACATGTTTCCAGTTTTGTTGCTTAAAAACGGATTGCATAACACCATTCTACTGTTGCTTGGCACAGATTACATAGAAAACATAGCCTCCTCTATTGTTGTGTAACCTAGGTACAGACTGTTTATGAAGAATTTGTCTTTGTGGAACTCATTGCCTAGCAGTGGGTATGCATGTAACAATATTATCAATTGCTCATATGGAATTATTTTGAATTCTTGTCAGAGAGTTTACAATGCTGGAGAAATTGTAGAGTAGTACCAGAGAGTTTAAACAAGTTTTCCTATTATTATCATCAACAAGATAGTCTACATTTATGTCATCACAAATAACAACTTCATTTTTTGGGTATGCAGCATGTTATGGATGGACTCTTAGTCTATTTAAAAATTCAGAGAAGCTCCCAGAGTGGGGCTCTGTATAGGGCCAAAATACATAATTTGAAAATGTGAATTTTAATTCCAGAACACAGGTTTCAGTTAATGATAAAGTAAGGGCAGGTTTCTGCCTATATAACCAGCTGATTGTGATAGTGAAATTTGTTCTTAAGTGTGAGGTGGATTACAATACGTTGTTGAGTGTTCATATTGCTGATTGAAACTGTTTAGCATGAAGTTGGATTTGGTTGTAATTTGTTGAAGATTATTTGGATGATGATGGTTCCAGAATATGTACACATCTAGGCAGTACTTGTCTGTATTAACACTAGTGAATTTTAGGTTTTTTGAACAAATATGTTCTGTACTTCTCCTTTGGCATATGTTAGACATATAACTACATCAGTAGCTTTATCACATTTTAGCTACACAGTAAACCACTTTAATGAGATTATGGAAAGAGGTCTCATGATTCAACCCCATCCGTATCCCAGATGAGCTGTTACACTTCCTTACAGTCTGCCTCAACTGATTACTCATTCTGTTCACAGTAATGTAGGTCTGGCATCCTTATATACTAACACAGTGGCAGGGAATATAACAGTAGGAAGAAAGGAGTCATCACCACCATCAGTATAACATCTTCCTTCAGTTGGGCAGGCAGGACCATCATACTTCAGAATGTCATAACAGTGTTTAATGTTGGCTAGCAGTTCATATCACTCTACATCCTAACTGTAAACTTACCTCAGCATCTGTACCCACATTACAATGAATGTCTGCGTGTTGCCCCTCTGTGCTCTTATTTTCTTCAATGAGATTAATGTGTTCCTCTTCAGTCTGGGGCATGAGTTGCAATTCTTCCTTTGATTTAAATTCCAGTGTTGTAATGTAGAATGGACACAACAATCCCAGGATCACCTACAGCATCAACATTTTCTTTCAGCCAGTATGTACACCCCTGACACACTAGATACCCATATTAATAGTAGGTATAGCACATATATGTACACTTAATCTAAATCAGCGCCAGTAACAGATGAACAACACAAAACATCTCATCCACTCTTCATTGCAGGAAATCGAAAACATACTGATCCACAACTTTCACCCTGAATGTGGAAGCAGCATGTACTTCCAATATATTGACAAAAATGCACACATCCACATGACGTACACCAAAGAGTTGACTTAAAATCAACAGTTAATCACCATGACAACCTAAAATCAGTAATGATACAGCTATCCTTGTTTAAGTTATAAAATTGCAAAAATACCTCTGAGATTTAAGATGCTCACAGTGGTGAATATAAAAATTAGAGTCTTCTGGGATGTCACACCATGTAGTTTGGTAAATAAGTACCAACATTTTGATGGGATTTCTTAAGCAATCTGCACAACATCACATCCCATAATAATAATTTTCATGAAAATCTTTGGAAAAGCAGACTGATTTATTGATTCTTAAGTTGCATAACAATGCAGTTTCACCTTCACAGATTATGAAGCATCAGATGTGATGTGGTGATAGTGAATGATTGCTATACCAACTGAGCTATCCCAGCTCTCTTATTTACCACAGTATGTTGATGTGTATCAGTGGTGTTTACAAGCAAGAAATGCCGAGATTCAATGTTTTACATGTGAGTGGCCCATTGAAATTGAAGATATCATAAAAGAGTAGAATGACAAGTTCAGAAATAGCAGAGATTGATGAAATTGGATAACATAATCACCACTTAACATGAACATAGTGATTCAGGAGTCTGCCATGCTTTGTGGGTACAAAAATCAAGAGATTTTGAGCAACAAAATTTATATTAATGTGGGTTCAATTTTGAAAGTTTTTAAGAGTCATGTCAGTTTGACAGTAAGATAAATATACAACAGAAATAAAGATATTTAATATAAAAGTTTACAATAACTTCAATACATTTGTCATTTATTTTACGATGCTATCAGTATGTCACACAATTTAGTATTGAAAGGATTTCGAAGGAAGCAGTTATGGTGTGATCAAAATTTTATATTGGCATTTGCTTGGAGGGACTGGGGAAAATCACAACACCCTCAGTCAAGAAAACCGGTGTCCTAGTTGAGATTCAAGCAGAGCACCTCCTGAATACAAATCTAGAGCATACTGCTGTACCACTCTGCTCAGTGCTTTCAATGTCATTTCATAATGAAACATGTTAACAAAAATTGTTTAATGTGTGACAGCATCAAAACTATTAAACTTTGTTTTATCGGTTTCCTGCACTGTCAGTGGATGGTGTTAACACCACAGTAGTAGAAACTGCCTTCCAGTCCAGTCTCAAATGGCTTAAAGATAATGAAAGAATGGCAAGAGCACACATTGCCAAATTGTTATTTCTTCAAACTGAATGGTCCTTTGCAAGTAAAACAGGATAGGAAATCAGCAATGCATATTAATCCACTACTGACTAACATAATTTCCAAAAGATGATGAGTAACTGTTTTCAAATATGAACAGTTGTACCACATGTCTGAGAGTTTTCAAATGTTGTACTTATTTTGTGCTATTATTTTGTCCGGTTATATATAAATGGTAGCCTTATGCTCTTGTGTGTTCTTTTTTAACCAAGAATGCATTTAATTCATTACTATGCATCAGAGAAGCTCTAAAAGTAAGATAACACTACAAAGCAGGGACCTACTGCCACTGAAATAGAACTGAATGAACAGGCAGGGTAGCATTTAAAGAAGCCTTTGATGGGTTAATTTTATGCATGCTAACTGTGTGAGCAGCAGTACAGTAATACAGTTTATATACATAATACGTGATGCCATTTCAGCAGCAGTTATACACAGATGTATTTTATTTTCTTGAAAGTCACTGTTGTATTTCAGCTTCTAATTTTGTAAATAGTGCCTATGAAATCGTACCTTCAGATTTATACATTTGGAACTGCATAAACCACCCATCCAGAGGTCACCAAGTATGATTTGACTGCAGGGGTGAGCAAGTAGAGCCTTGTGATTGGCTGCTACTGCCAGATTCAAGCACGTTTCTCCACTCCAGTTCTCTAACTCACACGTCAACAGCTGTGCTGCCTGATCATGATCCTTCTGGTAGCAAAAGTCCAGCAGCTCCAGAGCTGCAATAGAACTCATGTAACTACTGGTTGCACTGTAGAAGTTGTGGCACATGGCAAGAGGTAAAAAAATTATCATTTATTCTGTGTTATCTGTAGCATACAGTGCTCATCTATATTTTTCATGAAAACAAATTACTTCAGGAAGTTTATTTGTTTCACTGTGCCTTTAAAAGTGGGCACACTTAAGCACTTAAACTGCTATGTCAGTAATTCAATGAAGACAGTGCAATACCCTTCAAAACATGCGTAGACATTCTCAAAATTCTCTATCTATGGTCCAAATGACAGAACCGCCATGGGTTCAGTGATGTCTCCCATGATGGCAAATTTCTTTGGGGACTACTTGAAGAAGGAGACCCTGAGTGGAGTTGATTACAAGCCCCACTGCTGGTTTCACTACATTAATAAGAAATTTATGATCTATCTCATGCATGGGAAAAGCTTTCCTGGACTACCTGAACATATACACAACATCCAGTTCACCATGGACACTGAGACAGGTGACCCCCTCATCTCCCTGGCCATAAAAACAAAAATAAAAACTCCGTGATTTTAGTCCACAAATGAACTATACCAACTGAGAGACCGCCACTTCTCGGCAAAGTTTGGACATAAACATTTGCAAAAGACCAGATGGTTACTAGGGTCATACATCATGTTGACCCATAGTAACCTCTATTTGAATGCAAAGTTGCAACACCACTTGGCAGATAAGTAGTCTGTGCTGTCCCCCTTGACACCCTCAAAAGAACCTTTAATGAAAACAGTTACAGCGTGAAAGAGATCTGTCAGGCTTTCAAACAACCCCAGCAACAAGCCTGACAACCTTGAGAGGACCCAGTATTAATGATTTTCCTGCCCTTCATCAAAACATATGCAATCACGCCAGCAGGGTGCCTCTTAAGCATAATATAAAAACGCATAGTAGGCCTGCAACAATGATAATTTGCCATCTTCCTTCGCCCCATGAAGGTGGTATAGGTTGTATATGAGGTGTGGCTATAAAATGATGAAACTGATATCATAAAGGTATTTTACTGAAATTCTGAGTACTTTACAAATGTTCTTCAAAGTAGTTGACATCTACACAGCACTGCATGTGATCCTGCCATACCTGGAAGCATGCCTCAAAATAATTTTGTGAAGTTCTTTCAGCAACTGTTTTATTTTTTTCTTCTTTCTTGATGTGCTCAGTGGATCGAAAATGTGTTCCTTTCAAGGAATATTTTAACAAAGTAAAGAGGGAAAAGCCATATGGAATGATATCTGGATGTAATCAGGTACATGATCTTGCTTTTTGACCACAAATTGCAGAACCAGTAGCACAGTGTGCACTGGGGCAGAATCGAACAATTTTCTGATAACTTCATTTCCTTTCTTCAAGTAATTTCTTGCATTTATGACAAAAGTGTGATGTAATACTATAGAGTTTTGACCTGGTAAATTAATGAAAAACAAGGTAAACGATACTTTACTCTAAATACTTGAAGGTATAAAATTACTTGCAGGACACTAAATATGACACATTAGAGAAGAATTCTGCATTATTAATATAGTGTATACTTCACTCCAAGTTTCATGTGACTTTGGAATTTATTTTTTTTTTTTTTTTTTTCTGTGTGAAAACAGTTGCCCATCTGGTAGAAGTCAAGTGATAGCTGCTTCACTGTTTAACAGGTTAACATAATAATGGATGAAAAGTTCAAATGCAATCTTGTAGTACTGTAATAAACTCTCACCCACATTGTGTGTTGTTTGGTGACAACACTTTTAAAAACTGATTAATGATATAATGTGTGCTTCTGCTGGGCTTGGCTCATTTTTGAGAGAATCTGCCAAACTAGGTACCCATCCAATCTATTTCCACAGTTAATAATAATAAAAAAATATGTTTACATTGTGGTGAAACATTTTTACACAAGAAATTAATCAGTTAATAGATATTGTAATTAGAGAATAGAACCATGTACACCCCAGTTTCTGTTGAATCTTCCCTTTTCAATATTTTTTCATTTCTGTGTGAATAAGGCACACTAATTTCCACAAAATCTTAGAAATTATAGAATGTTCTGTTTGCATTCATTTAAAAGCCCTTTCCACACTTTTTATGGCTAACTAATAATTCCTTACATAATTATTCTCCCATTTTCACTTGACTATCTCAGTTTCACTGACCAAGTCATCAACTGGGCTTACCAATGTTTTCAAACTCTGTTCCATAATTCCTTAGGTCTTCATATATATTTGTCTCCAAGTCATCCTCAGCTGCTTCACGAGCCATAGCATTATACAGCTTGCAGGCGACCAGAGCCTTAACTAGGGCTTCTGCACCATGTTGCAACATGAGCAAAGCCATTTTCTGCCTCTTGGTCAATACTGCCCATATCTGAAACAGCATATCAATTCTTTGATACAACAGCCTTTTATTAAAATACAGGACAAAATCATAATATAAAATTAGCCAATAAATCCTTTAAGAATGTGGTAAATGTTAAAAATATTAGGGCATGATGGTAACAAAACAACATTACATTGACAAAGTAGCTAAGAACACATCAAACATTTGGAATGATTGCTACTGTGTAGTCCAGTACTGTTATCTTTCCAACCCCTGCCTAAAATGTCAAAAATCTTATGGAATGTTACAATGTAATATTCAGTAAAAGTGCCATGTAATGTTCTTTCTCTGCAAACTTGAAACAGACACTCACAAATAGTTCATTGAATGGATAATCAAATACAGCTGTTTCTATTTGGTATCTTTCTGATGGTGAATTCAATGGCATGTTGGTGTTTCCACAGCAGTGGTTGAAGTATGATCTGGTTCCAGGAACGTGTGGAGATTTCTTCATCACTTCTTTATAGATGAGCCCAAATCTGCGCTGTGTGTAATGTGACCTTCGAAATAGAATAACACAAGCCTCAAACAGCAGAGTAACACCACAGACAAAGTAATGAAGAAGTGGAGAAAATCATGCAGTAAGGAGTTTAAAAATTGTGTTAATTTTTTCTTGTTTTGTTTAATAATGCTAGAGTGATTAGATCAGGAAAGGTGAAATAGGTGCAGCATACTGAAATGGCAGAATCAAGTAATAAAAAAAAAAAAAGGAGTGAAGAAATCACTTGGAAAACCTACACAGAGATGGGAGACATGTACAAGATATTTAAGTTATAGCAGTATTTATGGTAGTGTAGTTGGTTGAGGCACTATGCTACAAGCCAGAAGGTCGTGGGTTCAAGTCCCAATGAGGTCATTGGATTTTTTTCAATTGACCTAATCCTTCCAGCCACACTATGGCCCTGGGGTCGACTCAGTCTCTAACAGAAATGAGCACCAGGAGTATTCTTGAAATATTCTTGGCGGTAATGGGAGGCCGGCACGTAAGGCTGACAACCTTGCTGCCATCTATGAGCCGATTGTCTAGAAAATGTGGGAACCTCAACATCTCACAACCCTATGGGCCTCCACGGCCTGTTACAGGGATACCTTTACTTTACTTTCTACTAGTATATATTTTAATGCTTTCTTATGCATAGCGATTCATCCTAAAGCTTGGGTGCAAATTATTATATAGTGCAAAGCAAATCTTTATGCATGAAATGAATGTACTTGATACCCAAAGAAGAAACCATGACAAAATTACGTAAATCTGCAGGAAATTTCAAACTTAAGTCAATTAGGAAACAACTGATATTAAGATTTTCAGAATGATACTGATCTGAAAGATAATGTGCAATTTACACATTTGGTTTCCTTTTAATTTAACTGTGAATGTCATTTTCATTTGTTATAAAAAAACATGCTGAGCACAGACATCACACTAACTTGTAAGCTCTGCCCATCAATTTGTTGATGACCAATCCAATGTCGTGCAGAGTGTAACGTCCAGGAGTATGCCGTCGAATATCTTTCAGAATGTAGCCCAGTGTGTTTGAAGGTCCTTCTGTCTGTAAAACACAAATTCAATGAATTTTGAGAGCTCAAGGGTATGTAGCCATTGTTACATCACATTCATTTTCTGCCTTCCCCACTATACACTCCCCCTTAAATTACTGAATTTCTGGAAAATAGATTCATTCAAATAGAACTATACTCTGGGATGCAATGCCATATAGTACAGTACACTACAGTACAGTAGAGTAGAGTAGAGTACAAGTTCACTGGCATTTCAGAAGAACATACTGTCTCCACCTTCAGGGTTGAATAGCAAGCAAGCAGGCAGCATGCAGAGTCAAACATCTATGAATGTCTACTGGGCTACATGGATTACATACCAGAATACAGTACTCTTCATAGTCACAGTTGTAAGAACCATACATCCCCACAGATTTATCAACTACTGATTTCAAGAAAGCAGTCTTCTGGGATGTGGCACCGTGTAGATGTGGTGTTAACCGATGTTTCGGAGGAACGTATCGCCTCCATCTTCAGGGTAGAAGGAAAAATAAGAAATCCGCAAGCAAAGAGACTGTGAGAACCGGTACTGGTCTGCTTGTACCGGTTCTCACAGTCTCTTCACTTGCGGATTTCTTATTTTCCTTCTGCCCTTAAGATGGAGGCGATACGTTCCTCTGAAACATCGGTTAACACATCTACACAGTGCCACATCCCAGAAGACAGCTTTCTTCATAGTCACCACCATGTAAACCTCAAATCTTACAACTACTCATTTGTTATTGCTTTATGACTGACATTTATGGAATCTTGAATATTTATCATCCATTAATGAATCTTCCACAAGTGGTTGTGGTGAAGTCTCAAGTTAATGAAAATTTCAAATTCAAAACAAATTTCTGAATAAAGGTATGTTACCATGATTACTCAGTTTGTTATAAAATCAATTTCATGTACTGGAATAAAGATTTTGTGTCGTAAAGTGCAAATAAAATTGTCCTTACACTTAATTAAATATAATAGAACAAAGATGTATGGAGGAGTGGAGATTTAGGTACATTCATACTTAATCTTGGCACTAAATGAAGGAGAATGGTCAGCTTCATGCCCATGCTACTTTCCGTTAGGGAAAAGGCCTCCAGTACCCACTGGATAGAAGAATGGATGGTTTCCCATAGTTGGTCAGAATACTGCGACAGAAAAATATTCATGCCTCTGGAGGTAAGCGAAGCCTATACATACCCAGTCACTGCACTGACCAACCTGGCATGGTATAATCAATTTACAATATGTCAAATTAGAAATGAATATTTAGTACAAAAAGCTGGAAAACACATTATGGATTCCAAATTTTTAACAGATTTTGAGGAGAAAAAACTACAGTGGTTTGGCAATATAAAGAATGAACATAATCAGGATACTGAGAAGCACATTAATGTACAATTTTTAAGGACAAGAGAGTCCAGCAAGATACAAAAGGTTATGGAGTAGAAACGAAAGGGCTCGGAAGAAACTAAAAAGGAAAGATTGTAGGAATATAAGAGTTGTGAGACTTTTCACTCACTGACCATACAAAATGGGAAAAAAAATTGTTGGAAGGAGGAGAAAACAGTGACACGAGAATGGGTAAATTTACCTCATTCAAAAGTTCTGTTTCACTGTCAAGGTAAGCAACATGTTAATGAGTAACAGCTGGAGAGTTATGCACATCTGTCAGATGAAAAATATATGTGTGTTACACATAAATGTTCCCGAAACATTTATGTTCCTGGTTAAGACTTTAAAAAAAATATATCCAGAAATGCATTAGTAATTAAGTAATGTCAACCATAAAATGAAATAAAGTGAATAAAACTTAAACACGTCACTCACTCACTTATTGAGCTGAGCCCTTCTTTAGAAGCTGCCAATTGTGCAGCTACTCAAGAGCTTCCCAGGATTTTATGAAACCTGAAGGTTCATTACCATGTTCACAAGAGCCCTCCACTGGTCCCTATTCTGAGCCAGACCAATCCAATCCGTACCATCCCATTCTATCTCTCTAAGATCCAATATAATATTGTTCACCCACCTACGCCTTAGTCTTCCTTGTGGTCTCTTTCCATCTGGCTTTCCCATCAGTATTTTATATGCATTCCTCTTCTCCCCATTCATGCTACATGCCCTGCCCCCCTCTTCATCCTTGACTTGATCATTCTAATTATACTTGGAGAAGGGTACAAGTTATGAAGCTCTTCATTATGAAGTTTTCTCCAACCCCCTGTCACTTCATCTCTCTTCAGCCCAAATATACTCAACCCGCCATTCTCGAACATCCTCAGTCTACGTTCCTCCCTTAATGTCAGAGACCAAGTTTACACCCATAAATAACCACAGGCAAAATTATAGTTTTGTATATTTTAATTTTTATGTTTTTGGACAGAAGACAAGAAGACAAAAGGTTCTGGACTGAATGGTAGCAAGCATTACCCGAGTTTAGTCTCCTCTTAATTTCTTCCTGAATTAGGTTTTGATTTGTTATCGTCGTTCCCAAATATCTGAACTGTGCCACATTTTCAAAACATCTGTTACCTATCATGATGTCATGATTTTGTCCAGCATTTTGGTGATGAGACAGCAACATGTACTTGGTTTTCTCTGTGTTTACTTCTAGACAAACCTCCTTACTAGCTTCAATTAAAGTTTGTGTGTTTGTCTTTATGGTATGTGTATTATCACCCAGTTGGTTCACATCATCAGCACAGACCGACAGCTGATGTGTCCCATTTAATTCCAGTCCCACCTGGTTTTCCTGGACCTTCCTAATGGCATAAAGCAAATTTGAAAAGGAGTGGCAATAAAGCATCTTGTTTTAGACCATTCTGAATAGGGAAATTATCAGACAAATGTTTAAATATACAGACTTTACTATGCATTTCATTTAAACACATTTTAATCCGCCTAAATAATTTCATGGGTACCCCAAACTCTATCAGAATATTGTACAGTACATCCCTCCTAACAGAATCATAGGCTTTCTTGAAGTCTATGAATAGCTGATGTACTTTCTCATTGTACTCTCTTTTTTTCTCCGGTATCTAACAAATTGAAAAGATCTGATCAATGGTTGATCTGTTACACTGAAACCCACACTGATGACCCCCAATAATTTCATCTATGTATGGGCTTGGCCTTGACAGAAGAATATTGAATAAAATTTTGTGCGAAGTTGAAAGCAGTGACATTCCCAAATAATTACTACAGTCAGTTTTATCACAATTCTTGTGAACTGGTACAATAATAGACTCCTTCCACTGATCAAACAATTTTTTCTTATGCCATATAGAATTAATTAACTTATGGATCTTAGAACATGATATTTCGCCTCCTGCTTGAATAAGTTCTGCTAGAATTTGATTACTACCTGGCAATTTATACCTTTTTGATTTTGCATTAGCATTTTCTACCTCAAAAACTCTAAGACCAGGTACTAATGACTCAGCTGTATGTATTTCTCTCTTCCTAACATCACTGACCCTATGTACATTCAGTAACTGAGAGAAGTAGTCCTGCCACCTAATCAAAATGTTGTGGGAATCTGCAAGCAGATTACAATTCTCATCCTTCACTAAGTTACTTCTAGGATGAAACTTAAACACATAGTAATATTTATGTACAAGTAAAAAGTGTCATCTGTTGACAGTCATAAAAATCTCTCAAATGACTCGAAATGTACATTTAAGTTGAATTTCGACCTTTAAGTATAGTAGCCCTTAAAATTAACCCAAATAAATATAAATAAAAATCATTTAGTGTAGGTGTACCATTCCAAGATTCGTCATATCATTCGTATAGCTTTTTTACAGTCCCTCTTGTGGGCAGACACAATGGAACTACATTCAACTCTCAATTATCCGGGATAATCACGGTTAATCGAAAACCTGTACTGTAATACTGTACCTTCATAGTACTATAGGCCTACCTGTATTTAAATTTATTCAACCTCATTTTTATGTCATCTCATGGCCTATTTAATACTTTTTTTACATTACACTGAAGTACGAGTATGAATTAGTTATTTCAGTCACAGTGTTCAACAACATCCAACACTTTTTATAAATATTCACATTTAACACTTAAAAAAACTTCATCTTGTCGTTTGCTTTTTTGCGGCATTTTCCTTTTAACGGATATCCATACGAAGCCTACATAATATTAGCTTGTCACTTAATAAACTTTTCTCTTCACTCTCAGGATGGTCTAGTAAGGATTCCAAATGATTAAGAGCAGCACAATGTGATATTTTCTTGCTAGCAGCACTGTCCACCTCTTCCTCATTCTCACTTTTTCCCGCTCTTCTGGCTGCACCCCCACTGAACTTATGATTTCGTCACTGCTTAACATTTTGAAGCCTGGCTCACACGAGTCACAGTCAAACCACTCTCATATTTTCCTCGTTGACTTCTTCACCACCATGAACTTGGTTAGCCACTTTTGTCAATTTTATGGCTATCTCATTTTCACTGAATCCAGTGAATCCACGGATTTCGTCATCTTCATTAGTGATGAAAGGCATCAGTTTCTTCCATGAATTTTTCAATACAGATGGCTTTACTGTATCCCACGCTGCTGAAATCTCGTATATGGCATCTAACATTGTAAAAGACTTCCAGAAACATGTCAGATCATTGTCTTCATCAATGTACTTTTGTAGCAAATTTGATTTGTAGATTCTCTTCATACTTGAGATAACTCCTTGATCCACTGGTTGGATAAGTGCGGTAAGATTAGGAGAAATATATTTCCATCATCTGACCTCAGGAGACTTTCGTTAGGATGTGAGGGCGCATTGTCAATGAGGAGCACAGCTTTCTCAGGTAGGCCTTGGGATTTTAGATGGTCACAAACTTGAGGCACAAATTTAAAATCAAACCATTCTTTAAATATCGCTCTATTCATCCAAGCTACTTTCTGATTAAAATAATGGATAGGCAGACTTGAAGCTACTGTTCCTTTAAAAGAGTGTGGTCTTTTCGCTTTGCTGGTAACTACTGAGGTTAGTTGTGTGTTCCTGATGCATTAGAACAGCACAAGGCTGTCAATCTCTCCTTAATGGATTTGTGACCTGGAGCTTGTCTTTCATTTTGAAATGCCAAAGTTCTGGTTGGCAAGCCTTTCCAATAAAGACCAGTTTCATCGGCATTATAGATTTGTTCTGGCAGCAGATATTCACTTTTCACAAAACTATCAAACTTGGTGTAAAATTGAACTGATGATGACAAGTCCCCTGACAATTTCTCACCTTGAATACTAATTTCTCGTATTCCATGACGTTGGTTGAAACGTGTTAGCCAACCAGAAGAAACATCAAAACTTCCTTGTAGTTCAAGTGCTTTGGAAAAAATTTTGCTTGTTTAGCACAAACTGCTCCTGTTAATGTTATTCCCTGTGCCCTTAGTTGATTAAACCAGATCAGCATTGCTTTGTCAAGATCACCATATGTTGATTTTTTCATGGTTTTTCTCTTCTTCATTCCGCTTGAATTAGATGATGAAGCAAAGGAAATTAATTGATCCTTTTGTTTTTTTCAAATCACGAGCAGTTTGTTCTCCAATACCGTATTGCATTGCTAATTGTTTAACTACAACTCTTTTTCCCAACTGATTGATAATTTCAAGTTTCTGTTGAATACTTAACACAACACACTTTCTTTTACACCCTGACATTTTGATAACACACTTGAAGATCGATACAAAGAGAGTAACTGGGGCAGTGTATCTGTCCTTCAAACTTTCCACAAATTCTTGCATTCTTTCACCCCTACCCTAGAACACTGTGTTAGCATAATGGGACCAAAAAATGCGGAGCTCAGTTCACACTAGTGGAAAAATAGTGTTACAACTCACCATGTGAAACAAAAGTGAATGAATATTAAACAACATACAAGCCTCAAAAAAGCCCCGGTAGCCTCGGTTAAGCCACAAACCAGTTTATCTGCCCCCGGATAATCGAGAGTTGAGTGTAATAACTTTTGCTACTAACAAACACTTAGAAGAACATTCATAGCTATGAAGTATAAGCTCAGCTGCTGCTAACCTGACATGAAAGGACTAACACAGAAAATTTTACAGTTTCAATTTTTGACTTACTGTATTGTACAACTCTTCAAGACGAGGTATAGAAAGGAATTTCCTCATAATAATTCCATTCTCCAGTAATAATTTAACAAAATCAACACGATCAAGTTTGAGGGCTTGCATCATGGCCTCTTCTAGAGCCCCTGCCACAGAAACAAAGAAATCAGTTACTCACAAGCCTAGGCATATTAGGAGCAAGAAAAGAGATACCATGCATAAAACATATACCTGGAGGCCATTCTTGCCCATGAATAAATATATCAGAACGTGCAATATCCACTTGATTCCATGCAAGAGCATGACTCAGTTGTTCACATGGAGACAAATGCTGACTCTTAAGCGCAACCTTAAGGATTGTCTGATCAAGTTTTTGAGATATCTCCTTTGGTTGATCAGTGATACGGAATGTGGTGAACTGAAATTGAAAACAGTCATTTTAAGAATGCATTTCACATGAAAACATCTGTTGTTTCTTAAGCTAAGCATCTAGATCTATAAAATACTGGCAATGTCAGTATATCAGAGATTAATAATTGTATAGCAGAGGGGGCTACCATTGATTTTGTGCCATGTGAGAATTCTCACCCCTGTTCATACTAAAATTTCCGTAGCGATTCTTTTCTTGGCATGTGGCACAATGGATGTTATGTTCTGGACTACCAGCAAGTCAGATGAAGTTGAAAAATACCATATTTGCCTACACAGAAGAAAATATTCTTTTCCTACTTGAAGAATAAGAAAACTAATGGTCATTACGAATTTGAGCGATAACTGTTTTATACCAATATTTTTATGCATTTTAAGGTTTTAGTGGGTTGTGCCAAAATTCATGCTACATCTTCCTATGATTACATAGCAAGCTAGAAGCAAGAAAGATGGTGTGTGTCCATGTGCACACTCATGAGCAGGTGCAAGTATGTATGGCCTTATCAGCATCTAAGTCTGTTTACACCTATTTATAAATAATAATGATAATAATAGAAATTAACACAGTGGCACCCCAGAACACAATGCTGAACATCCTGGAGGAGGATATCCATGTCCTGTGAGAAATGTACCACCCTCACCCACAAGGTTGTAACCCACACTGAATATGGAGGCAGCATGCACACCTGAAACCCTAGAACCCACCCACGAAGCCACATGCGCCCCACCTCACAAGTCAGTCACCCCAACATTATCTACCATGTGACGTATACATGATATTTCATGAAAACTCATTCAGCTGTAAATGGGTGGTGTTCTAAAATCAGAAAAAAAATACGGTTATCTGCACACAAATAAAGAGTTAAATGGTATTAACAATGCTAGACTATATAGGTGCCTGCCACTGAACACCTACAATTACCATGCATGTAAAACAAAGCAAACATTACAAATCAGAACTTCAAAATGGCATAAAATTACGGTTAAATTATCTTGGAGAGCCCAGTACTGCTCATCACTGGGAAAACATCTGACATGCCATGACAGTCATCGCCAAGAACATCGCATAATATGTAATGGAGATAAATTATAAGACATTCTTTGTCATAAAATGCTCGCTAGATAAGAATGCGTAACCATTCCAAAAGCACCACTGGCATCCTCGTTGCGGAGGGGGTAGCATCTGGAAAGATGGAGAATAGGGCAATGGTCCACCTAAGCCAAGGCCGATGCCTCAATGACACTGGGGTGGAATTTAGCCAGTGTCGATAACAAACCCCTTGAGGCACCAAGGAGCACCCCATTGTATTCATGCCTTCCACTTGCATGGTGCTGTGGGTGGTGATATTTTAGATCCTTTTTACACATGGGAATTTTCCTGGGGAGTAAAGCGTGGCTGGCACATAAGGCTGACAACCTTACCGCCATCTTCGAGCCAATTGTCTAGATAATGTGGGGCCTTCAACATCTCACAACACTATGAGCCTTCACGGCCTGGTACAGGGATAGCTTTTCTTTTTACACGTGGGACCAGAAATGGGTACCAAGAAAAATAAAGCTGGTATACAAGACTCTAAAAGGGATTCTCTACAAGAAATTCTTCAGCAAAGGATTGAGAGATCTGTTGTATCATTAAGGGGCACTGACACAACCAGTGTATACACTGTTGAGATTTCAGCCAAGGTCAGGGACAAACCAATAGAGAGAAACCTGCTGTAAAGAAAATCAATTGACAAGAAACAGCTATGACATGTTATTGGGAGACCTCTTCAGTTCCCTCTATATTTATTCTGAGTGCTGAACAGCAGTTTTTGAGTCAGGTGTGTCAGACGAAGACTTAAGAAGCCATGTGTAGTTACAGCATTGGATTTCCTTTTCAGGTACCAAAACATGACCAGGAACAAAGTGTCTTGATTGTCTGAAGAGCTTTCTGACAAGTGCTACTACAGTGATCTGGAGTCTAGTGTTTTGGTATTCATATTTTGCACTGCCAGATTATGGAGATGGGAAAAGTGTTTTGTGGTCAAAGTCCCTGATATATGACATCATGAAAATTTATATTAACACAAGTGTCCAGCACAGTCAAAATGACAGATCGTGTCCAGAAATGTGGTACTGATGCAAAAGAGAATCATGTATCAAAAGTATGAGCTGTTGTTATGTTGTTAAGTGTAAAATTATAGTAATGAAACATGCATAAAAAAACAAATGATGAAGCAACAGAAAAGTACAATGTCTCCAAAATAAAGACTTGTAGGTGGAAACAATGGAGCCAGGACTTAAGGATTGCCAGATCATGAAAAAAAAAACATTCAATGGTCCTAAATGTGGTCAGTTATTTAAATCATTGGACAAGTTGTGAAGTATGTGCAGACTGAAAGTTAGATTGGAACACCACTTTCATGTGACATCATTAAATTCAAAGTATGAGGACTCATAAGGAAGCTAAGTACTGATTGGCAGGAATTTATAGCCAGCACAGGGTGGTGGGTATGAATGATGTGGGAGAATGGGTCTTCTTTCTGGCAAAAATTTCACTCTCACAGAATTCACCATCAGGTTTCAAGGAGAAAATTCTTGTCTTTTAGAAACCTGTGATTAAATATCAGAAAGAAAATATTACTTTCTAAGCCAAACATGGAAGCCAATGAAATGTCAGTTTACTGCAGCATGTCATCCAGTTACACAGTTGCTAACATAGGTGCAAACTATGTTGTTATAAAAACAGGAGACAATAAAGAAATCTGTCTCCATTAAAACAGCAGACAGTAAAATGAGGAAAGGGACTGTAATACCAATGGTGTTAGCACATGACGTGAAGATACCACCATATGACACTGAATCGAAAACTTGTGTCCAAGATGTGGTTGCCTACAGACTAATAATCAGATGTCAAATTAAGGTTGCTTAGTTACTTGGTTATTTAATGATGCATGAGTGTCAGAACAGTACAACATCAGATCTAACTAAGGGATGGATGACTAATGAAATATTGTAGGACTGGTCACAGGTGGTCTAGGAGAGCAGACCAGGAGATTTCTGCAAAACTGAGGAATACTTGTATCAGATGCATTTAAATTAATTTAACACTGAAGTCAGATCTGTGTTTCATGCAAGGAATACTGACCTTGTGGTCATACCTTGAGGGATGTTGTGTCTGTGCATGTGTGTATATATATGTACAAACTTTCTTCAGCAAGATCTTGACAATTATTTGTGGTAGGTCAGTTACTGAACCATGAATCTCCACATTTTGTATATGCTGCACAATTGCTTTAAGTTCTGTTAATTTACACATTTGAGCCCAGGAGTTTCGAGATTCTAATTTTTCTCATAAGTAAGTACAGGGCTTTGTGAAATAGATTCTTCTGTAATGAATCTTAGTGTTATAATTATAGTATGGCAATGGGACTTTGAACGATTAGGTGAACAAAAGAGAAAATTTCATTCATTCTACTTATTGGGAATTATGCCAAAAATTTCAGATACTTTAGCATTTTTAGGGCTATAAGAGTGGATTCCTAGGACGCTGTTTAACTCAAAGACAATGATGAATGGGAACATAAAATTATGTGGTTGGAATTTCAAGAAACAAATATATTTCTCAATCACTTCATCCTGCTGTAATGTCCTAAAGAGGGAATAATGTGATGCATATACTGTAAATAATTTAATTTTACACAGACATTTGAATAAACATTCCGCTTGTCTATTATAAATTTTGCAGACTATTGAAGAGTAATTCCTGCATTATGACTGCTTACCAGGTTCTTTTTCTTAGTGCACTGAAGAAGTTCAGAGCAAAGACATTTGGCTTGTTCCATATCTACTTCAAATGTACCCTGGATGATGCTGATTAAGTAATCCTCCATACTTTCCATGAGAGTCTGCTCACAACTGTAATGCAAGAAAAGGCAACTTCTGTATCAGAGACATATCACCAAAATTCACATCTTCAGAAACTAGGTTCTCATCTTGAGGGCCTACTGATTTTTGTATTATTCTAATGCAGTGATTCCAAAACTCTTTTCAGCATACAGATGCCTTGTATAACAGATTCCATTATGATAACCAGAACAGAAACAAATATTATATTACAATTAAATTTGGAAACTATATAGTATCCCCATGTTTGCATAGTTAAAATTTTCTCCAAAACAGAACGAGGCTGAAAAGATATCTTCCAACATGTAGTTTCCAAATGCATTTTTTGTGACTTTACAACTGACCCTGATATTTATAGATTACTAAAACAAATATTGTGCTAGAATGTGCTGAAACATTTATCTTGCTAGGTATAACCACACTGCCTTTCTTCTGCCTTCTTGTATCCATACTGTAAATACAAATTTTCCCCAGCATAAAAAAAAACATGAATGTGAGCAGACCACTATCATTAGATGGCAGATGCAGATCTATTATCGTAAATGTATAATTTCAGCTTTGTGGGTTTAGTCATATTGTGAACCTGAATTGCTCCAACATTTCAGAATACACTGCAGTTACCATCTTCAGGGTGAATGAGGTGAAAAATTTGGACTTCATCCTCATAAGTCAAAATTATACATCAGAACAGGTGATAAAAACCTGAGAATGAGAATTATTGTTGAAAAACTATTCACACTAACTATATGAAGCTGAGTCCTTCTTGAGAAGCCACCAGTTGCTTAGCTACACAAAAACTCCCCAGTATTTAACTGAAACCAAAACTTCATTACTACATTCACAAGAACCCACAATTGGTCCTTATCATGAGTCAAGTGAATGCAGTCCTTACCACCTCATCCATTTTCTCTGCGATCCACCTACATCTACTTTTATCTACTAGTCACTTTCCTTCTGGCCTTCCCACCAGAACCCTGTATGCATTTATCTTTGCCCCATGCATGTCATATTACCTGCCCATCTCATCCTCCTTGACTTATCATTCTATGTTTGGAAAAAGCATACACGTTATGAAGTTTCCCATTATGCAGTTTGCTTCAACCTCCTATTATCTGATCTCTCTTTGGTACAAATGTTCTCCTTAACACCCTGTTCTCAAACACCCTCAGTCTGTGTTTCTTCTTTATGTCAGAGACCAAGTTTCACATCCATACAAAACTACAAGCAATATTATGCCTTTATATACATATAAGGGGCAGTCAAATGAAAATGGGTCACCACGCATAACTCACACGGTGCACAAGTTGGTAACACTGGATTTTGCTTACAGTAAGAACATCTGGTGGGGACTCGGAAAAGCACAGTGACAACATGCCCTTGCACACTAGTCGTTTGTTTTTTGTTCTGGAAGTAAGGTTAACGCTATGTGTGGTCGTCCAACATCAATAATGGAGGCGGGTAAAGAAGAACAGCGAAGTGTGCGCTTTTTGACTGCTGAAGGAGTAGGAGGACGAGAAATTCATCGTCGCATGTCTGCTTTTTACAGCGAACACAGCATGTCACGTTTGCGTGTGCTGGCGTGGCATAAGGGATGCCGAGAGGGACGTGTGTCACTACAAAATGATGCTCGCCCAGGACAGGCTCATCGTGTCATCACTCCTGATGTGTTGGATGGTCATATACAGGCAAATTGACAGATCACTGTGGAAAAAATTAGTCTTTTGATGGGAATAAGTTACGGTTCTGTACACGCCATTGTGACAAAACACCTGCTGTACCATAAATTTGCCTGCAGTAGGTTCCACATCAACTCATGGAGGAACAGAAGACTCAGAGAATGGCTGCATCACTGGGTCACTTGCAATGATACCACGAGGAAGAGTATGCTTTTCTGTCCCGTATTGCCACTGGGGTACCACCACCACCACTTGGTACCATGATTCTAAACCCGAGAGCAAACGGCAGAGCCAACAGTGGAAACATGGGAATTCTCCACCGAAGAAATCCGAAATCGTAGACACAAGTTCCAGTAAAGCGATGACGACATTCTTCTTCGACTACAAGGGCCCTCTGCTTGTTGAATTTCTCGAGCATG